AACGAGTGTTGCAATAACTGGTGACAATACTTGAGAAGCTTTTTGATACATAAAACCAGGCAAGTTGTTTATGTCTCCTGCCTTGTTTTTAAGGGTGTTGATAATGAGTGAGACTTCTAGTGGGTTGGTTGGAGCTAGGAATAGTGTATTTGAGTAGGTCCCTATGAGAGTCTGATGGAAGGGTGTTTGAGCTTGGCATTTTCTTCACCACATTTTTTCCTATGGTGAAGAAAACATTGAGTGTTTGCTGTTTCAGTTGGTGCGAGTAGGGGTTCGTCTGATTTTGTTAGCTTGATTGTTTTGTTTTTGGATAACTTTTTAATTCCAAGAATTTCAGATAGAGTTTTCCAGGTTTCTTCATATCACCTTTGATGTTATGTAATCTATTTTCATAATAAAATTTTTTAGACCTTCTTATCAGGCTGGTAAGAGCTGACGAGTAGCGTTCAGACTGTTCCCTAGTTATTTGACCAATTCTACACTATTTTTCATATTTGTGCTTTGTGTTAATGGATTTGAGGATGCTTGGTGTTAGCCAGGGATTATTCAGTCTCTTTGCTGTGATCTGTTAGTTTTTTGGGGGGCAATGTTTGTTATAGAGGCTTTGGGCTTTTTTTTTTAGAAAATTATTTATACATTCATTCATATCTGTACATATTTTGAGCTCATTTTGCCAACTGATGTTATTCATAGCTGCTACAAAGTTGTTAACTGCTGTCTCGTTATGTAGTGTGAAGGTTACTTTAGAAACGTCTTGTGGCAATTTACCTAGATTAGTTATGAGAAATGTTGGGTAGTGGTCTGTAGTGTTGTCTGTGATTATGCTTGATTTTAAAGAGGATATGGTGTTAGTCCAGATGTGGTCTATTAAGGAGATACAGTGGACCCCCGCATACCGATTTTAATCCGTGCAAGAGGGCTCATTGGTATGCGAAATAACCGGTATGCGAATGAATTTTCCCCATAAGAAATAATGGAAATCAAATTAATCCGTGCAAGACACCCAAAAGTATGAAAAAAAAAAATTTACCACGTGAAATATACATTTTCCTACACACAAAGAGAAGGATACATGCACAATAGTAGAGTAGTACATGCACAGTATATATTGTGCATGTACTAGTCTACTAAATGAAGAATAAATGACACTTACCTTTATTGAAGATGCAGCAATGACTGATGAGACACTGTGTCCTCGGAGTGCCTTTTCCTCCTGAGTACTGTAGGTCCTGTTTGGTATTTTCTTCCAGAACAGACCTTATCACACTGTGTATGCCACTACGATTCTTGAATCTCTCAAACCAACCTTTGCTGGCTTTAAATTCACCAATATGAGCACTAGTTCCAGGCATTTTTCCCTGTTCACCTGGGTGTTAGTCGACTGGTGTGGGTTGCATCCTGGGAGACAAGATTAAGGACCCCAATGGAAATAAGTTAGACAGTCTTCGATGACACTGACTTTTTTGGGTTATCCTGGGTGGCAAATCCTCTGGGGTTAATTGTTTCTTGGTATTCTCAATAAGCCACACCAACAACAGTGCTACAGCAGCAGCAGCAGCAGACGATGCTACAGCAGCAGCAGCAGCAGACGATGCTACAGCAGCAGCAGCAGCTGACAGTGCTACAGCAGCAGCAGACGATGCTACAGCAGCAGCAGACGATGCTACAGCAGCAGCAGACGATGCTACAGCAGCAGCTGACAGTGCTACAGCAGCAGCAGACGATGCTACAGCAGCAGCAGACGATGCTACAGCAGCAGCAGACGATGCTACAGCAGCAGCAGACGATGCTACAGCAGCAGCAGACGATGCTACAGCAGCAGCAGACGATGCTACAGCAGCAGCAGACGATGCTACAGCAGCAGCAGACGATGCTACAGCAGCAGCAGACGATGCTACAGCAGCAGCAGCAGCCGACAGTGCAGCAGCAGCAGCTGTACCACCAATAGTAGCGATGGTTGATTGGGGTTTATTATACAACCTGGCCAGCTCGGAGACACGCACTCCACTTTCATACTTATCAATGATCTTTTTCTTCATCTCTATAGTAATTCTCACCCTTATTGCTGTAGGGTTGGCACTAGAAGCTTTCTTGGGGCCCATGGTCACTTATTTTCCAGATAAAATCACCAAAAACACTGTAATAATACGAAATGTTACGATTGTATGCTTGGATGCTACCGCGGAGGCTGGCTGGTAAACAATGCCACCGGCGGAACATGTGAGGCTGGCTAAGGCGCACATTGGACGCGTCTCGGACGAACAGCGGTGAGCGGGTTTTTAAGCGGTATGCGAGGCAAAATTTTTGCGATTAAAGCAAGCGGTATGCGGATTAATCGTTATGTGATGCCAACGGTATGCGGGGGTCCACTGTACTTGTCTCGGTGATTCTTGTAGGTTTAGATATGGCTGGTAGCAACAGGCAGTTGCTCATAGTGTTTGTGAATTGGTTACTTGTGGGTCCTGGTCGTGGAGTATGTTTATGTTGAAATCTCCTGTTAGTAGTAGGTGGTCTTTATTCAGGTGTGCATCAGTAATAATGTTTCCTAGTTTTTCACTGAAGTGGTAAGTGTTTGACTGTGGTATTCCGTCGATGTTTGTAACTGCGAGGGGGTTTTTGCAGGTCTTTCGATTTAAATTTGGCTACGATATATTCTCCATGTTCATCCCTTGTGCAAGATTTTTGGATACATTCGAGTTGATTTGAGTAGTATATTGCTGTTCCTCCCCCTTGCTGGTCTGTTCTACAGTTGTGTATGACCATGTAGCCAGGAATGCTATAGACATCTGTAATATCAGGCTTAAGCCAGGTTTCTGTGAGTGTGATGATTAATATATTGGAATGAAGGGAATTGAGTAATGCTGTGAGGTCATCATAATGTTTGCTCAAGGATCTGACATTGTAGTTAAAGATGGTTATGTTATTGTTTGCACTGAGTAATGTCTTTGCTTGGTCTGCTGTGTAGTAATTACAGTTGCTGTTTGATTTGTGTAATTCATTTAGTAAAAAGTTTACATCAGGATCTATGCCTGTAGTCATAAGGCGAGAGTAACTCTACAAACTAGATTTTGAGTAAAATATTATAAGACTTGTATTGATCTACAACTAGACTTAGGAATAAGACTAATTATTCTAAAACTTGTAAAAATATAAAAGAACTAGGGATTATTATAGAATAGATAATTCAGCTATACACTTAAGCATTAAATAGCACCTTAATTATTTTAACAAATGTGAGTTTATGAACTATAGTAGATATTTACAGCTAAAATAAAGGAGCTAGTGAATATAATAAAAGAATGAATTAAAAACAAAAACAGTAGCACCTGAGATAGTCAATAGCACCTGGAGTATTTTAATAAATGTGACTACACGACTATATTCAAAATGGGAATTGACACAGTTACTTTTTGCTGATGATACTGTGTTTATGGGAGATTCTAAAGAAAAATTGCAAAGGTTAGTGGATGAGTTTGGGAATGTGTGTAAAGGTAGAAAGTTGAAAGTGAACACAGAAAAGAGTAAGGTGATGAGGGTGTCAAATGATTTAGATAAAGAAAAATTGGATGTCAAATTGGGGAGGAGGAGTATGGAAGAAGTGAATGTTTTCAGATACTTGGGAGTTGACATGTCGGCGGATGGATTTATGAAGGATGAGGTTAATCATAGAATGATGAGGGAAAAAAGGCTGAGTGGTGCGTTGAGGTATATGTGGAGTCAAAAAACGTTATCTATGGAGGCAAAGAAGGGAATGTATGAAAGTATAGTAGTACCAACACTCTTATATGGTGTGAAGCTTGGGTGGTAAATGCAGCAGCGAGGAGATGGTTGTAGGCAGTGGAGATGTCCTGTTTAAGGGCAATGTGTGATGTAAATATTATGCAGAAAATTCGGAGTGTGGAAATTAGGAGAAGGTGTGGAGTTAACAAAAGTATTAGTCAGAGGGCAGAAGAGGGGTTGTTGAGGTGGTTTGGTCATTTAGAGAGAATGGATCAAAGTAGAATGACATGGAAAGCATATAAATCTATAGGGGAAGGAAGGCGGGGTAGGGGTCGTCCTCGAAAGGGTTGGAGAGAGGGGGTAAAGGTGGTTTTGTGGGCAAGGGGCTTGGACTTCCAGCAAGCGTGCGTGAGCGTGTTTGATAGGAGTGAATGGAGACGAATGGTACTTGGGACCTGACGATCTGTTGGAGTGTGAGCAGGGTAATATTTAGTGAAGGGATTCAGGGAAACCGGTTATTTTCATATAGTCGGACTTGAGTCCTGGAAATGGGAAGTACAATGCCTGCACTTTAAAGGAGGGGTTTGGGATATTGGCAGTTTGGAGGGATATGTTTAGTATCTTTATATGTGTATGCTTCTAAACTGTTGTATTCTGAGCACCTCCGCAAAAACAGCTATAATGTGCAAGTGTGGTGAAAGTGTTGAATGATGATGAAAGTATTTTCTTTTTGGGGATTTTCTTTCTTTTTTTTGGGTCACCCTGCCTCGGTGGGAGATGGCCGACTTGTTGGGAAAAAAACAAAACAAAAAAAAATAATGGACAAGAGGGAAAAAAATATTATAACACTGTTGGGAGAACTATGCATTAACTACACTGTCGGGAGAACTATGCATTAAGTACACTGTTGGGAGAACTATGCATTAACTACACTGTCAGGAGAATTATGCATAACTACACTAAGGAGAACTGTACATTATTTGCTTTGTGGGGAGGACACCATACATTAATTACTCAATCTTTCATTATAAATGAAATTAAATAATCTAAGACTACCAGTGACTAGTTTTGATGGTTTATGTAGCCTTGCAGCTCAGCCTGAGGACAAAACCTAGTCTATCAGGCTACTGCAAGGTATTACCAAAATTATATGGCAATTATAAACTACTTACCTACATTACATTTAAAATTGCTTAAATTAGTCAAAACTAACTACATTAGTGTAACTGTAGCAGTGTGCTGCCCATCAGAACCTGGCTAATCAAGCTCAAGAGACATACCTGGCCTAAGTGGCGCTTGGCGTGCCTCATTGATGCAGCATCCAAGGGCGAGTCGTGATGAACGGTGTGTGTTGAAGGTGGCGACGCCCCTGCCACACCCTTACAACCTCATCCTCATTCAGAAACATCCTTTCATCAAACTCTCCATAACTCAGAAGGTACTCTTCGTAGGCATTCTTCACTTCTTTTACATTGTGGTCAAAGTTGGTTTGTTCCAAGAGGCCAGTGCCTTCTGCTCCACCTTTAAGTACCTACAAATAAGCATGTATATTGATAAAACAAATACAAATTATTAGGCCTAGGTAATAATTATTGCTAAGCAATAACCTACAAAGCCAATTACTGTGGTTGCTTCTTGTATCACCAATGTTCATGGGTAAGTGCTGAGCTGATAGGGGTCACATACTACCCAAGAAATGGCAGAAAATCAGATTTATGGTAATTCTAAAAAAGAGAAGGTATCTTAATGACTCCAGTGATCACTGGCCCTCAGAGCCCTGCACTCAGACCATCGCTTGTAAATTAAGCAAATATTACACGGCTAACAACTATTATTCCTTAAACTTTGGGATACCCGGGGAAAAAGTGCTTGTCCACCTATTTGTGGGTTGCAGGAGTTGAGTCACAGCTCCTGGCCCCATTTCATCTCTGGTTCCTACTAGGTCCATGCTACCTGCTCCATGAGCTTTATCATACCTCTTCCTAAAGCTATGTATGGATCCTACCTCCACTACATTACTCTCCAGATTGTTCCACTTCCTGACAACTCTGACTGAAGAAATACTACCTAAAATCTGGGTTTTCAGCTTCCAGTTGTGATCTCTTGTTGCTGCGTCCCATCTCTGAAACGCTCTGTCCCTATCCATCTTGTCAATTCCTCTCAGTATATGTTAAGTCGCCCCTATCCCAGCTGTCCTCCAGTGTCAAGTTGATTTCCCTTAACCTCTCCTCATAGGACATACCCCTTAGCTCCGGGACTAGTCTTGTTGCAAACATTTACACTTTCTCTAATTTCTTTGTGCGCCTGACCAGGTGTGGGTTCCATACTGGTGCTGCATACTCCAATATGGGCCTGATGTACGTGTACAGAATCTTCAACAATTCCACACTCAGGTGTCGAAACACACTAATGTTTGTCAGGTGCCCATATGCTGCAACAATTATTTGGTTGTGTGCCTCAGATGCGCTTGGTATTTACTCACCCCAAAGTCCTTTTCCTTGAGTGAGGTTTGCAGTCTTTGGCCCCCTAGCCTGTACTGTCTGTGGTCTTCATTGACCTTTCCCAATCATTATGACTTGGCACTTGGTGGGGTTAAACTCCAGCCTGTCCAGATCCCTTTACAGCCACACCAGATCCTCATCCACTTCAATTCTCTGCATTAGCTTCACACTGTCTGCAAACAGGGATATCTCGAAATCTATTCTTTCTGATATGTCATTCACATACCAGAAACACAGGACTTGGGACTGACCTTTGTGGAACCCCACTCATCACAAGCACCCGCTGACACCTCATTACATACCATCACGACGTTTCCTTCTTGTCAGGTATTCTGATCCATTGCAGTGCCTTTCCTGTTATTCCTGCCTGCTCCTCTAGCTTTTGTACTAATCTCTTGTAAGGAATGGTCAAAAGCCTTCTTACAGTCCAAGAAAAGGTATTCTACTCAGCCCTCTCTCTCCTGCTTTACCTCTATCACCTTGTCATAAAACTCCAGTAGGTTTGACACAGGATTTCCCATCCCAGAAACAGTGCTGGTTATTGTGTAGAAGCTCATTCCTTTCTAGGTGCTACACCAGTCTTTTCCTGATAAGCTTGCTCGCTTTCACTGTACGTGTGCACGCCTGTATGCGAGCAAGGGGGATGATTTTTTTTAGGGTGAAAAATTATAATGTTCTTAGTTTGATATTTTTTCTGAATCTAATAAAACTAAAATAAGTGGAATCCGATAAAAAAAATTACTGTTATGATGTGTTGGTAACATTGGCATTAAAGCACCAATTAGGGTTTATAGAATTTAGTTTTCTAAGCTAAATAAAACTCAATTTTTAATTTTCTTTTAAGAACTAGTTAACACTAGTTACTACATTTTGCAGTGAAAATATACTGTTTTCCAAAAATAATAATACAGCAAATTACTCAGAAAGCACAATGCACCGCACTAATAATGTATATACAGTAGGGCCCCACTTATTCGGCAGTTTAGGTTCCAGGCTGCCACCGCAAAGCAGACATTGCCGCAAAGCAGAACACTTTTTATCCACTAAAAAATGGATATAAATGCCAGATAAGTTTACACTAACATATTAACCCTTTCAGGGTTTCCGACGTACTAGTACGGCTTTCGCACCAGGGTTATTGATGTGCTAGTACGCCTAAATTCTAGCGCCTTCAAATCTAGTGAGGGTAAGCTGGTAGGCCTACATATGAAAAAATGGGTCTATGTGGTCAATGTGCACAGTATAAAAAAAATCCTGCAGCACACAGTGAATGAGAAAAAAAAAACTTTTTGGTTTAAAATAGCGACAGTGTACAGTGGACCCCCGACATTCGATGCATTTTAACCAAAAATTTCAGCCTCGACATTCAATGGAAAACCCGACATTCGATATGATTAGTACGAGACGTATCCACATGTGGCCTGAACTGCCCGTGTGTGCCAGTGTTTACAAGCCAGCCAGTGTGCACGCATCTAAGGACACATTCGGTACATTCCATATTATCCATATTATCACTGTTTTTGGTGCTTGCTTCTGCAAAATAAGTAACCATGGGCCCCAAGAAAGCTTCTAGTGCCAACCCTTCGAGAAAAAAGGGACTAATGACTATTGAAATGAAGAAAGAATTGCAAAGTACGAAAGTGGAGTGCGTGTGTCGGAATGCATGATGATTTGGTAAAGAAAATGCCTGCAACTAGTGGTGATGCGAGTGAATTTAAGGCCAGCAAAGGTTGGTTTGAAAGATTTAAGAATCGTAGCGGCATACAGTGTGGTAAGGCATGGTTAGGCTGCCAGTTCAAGTCCTAATGGAAGGGGATTCCCCTTCTAAACACTAACACCTAAACACTCTCCCCTCCTCCCATCCTATCAATCATCACCAGATCTTCATTAAAGGTAAGTGTCAATTATTCTATTGCTATTAATCTATTGTTATTGTTGTTACTGTAATTTTTCTATTGCATTAAACTTAATATTTCATGTGGTAAAAATTTTTTTTTCATACTTTTGGGTGTCTTGCACGGATTAACTTGATTTCCATTATTTCTTATGGGGAAAATTAATTCAACTTAAAATATTTTCGACATTTGACGAGCTCTCAGAACGGATTAATATTGAATGTCGGGGGTCCACTGTATTTTTGTATGGCATTTATGGTTGTATTCTAGTTTTCCTGATCTCATTTTATAGAATGGAAGACATATTACAGAAATTGAGGTGATTTTGATTGGTTTCATAATGAAAAGTACCTTGAAATTGAGCTCAAAGTAGCAGAAATGTTCGATTTTTACCAAAGTTCAAAAGTAAACAAATCATGCCAAGCATCCAATACACGTCAAATGGTGAGTCTAATATTCTTTCACAAGTGTGCTGATATTATTTATACCATTTCTACACTAATGCAGTGGTCTGCATAACAGTAAATCTTCTATTTTTCATGAGAATAAAAATTCAAAGTGGAAAGCAAGAGACATAAGAGGAGCCTGGAGATGTGACTAATGATCAGAGAAAATGTTATTTTAGTGCCAGGAATGTCTCTTGTTTATTCTGGACCTTATTTGGAAATTGGCATCTTCTGAAATTTGTGTGAAATTGGCAAAATTGTTAATTTCTGACCATTTTATTGGATAGATGAAATCAGTAAATGGGTGGTTTCTTATACTCCTTTGATAGAAAAAACGGAGTTCTAGCAAAGTAGATATGATTTTTGTCGACTAGTACACTGGAATTGGCCGAAAATAGGGCCCAAAGTGAGTGAAATCGTCAATGCGCAAACATCGTCGAGACCATTAACTTCGCGAGAGCATAATTCCCTAAGTTTTTCCCATCAAATTTCATACTTTTGGTGTCATTATGATCGGGAAAAGATTCTCTATCTTTTCATAAGAAAAAATAATTTTTTTTCTCCAAAAAATTTCCAACCCTGAGAACGAGTTTAGGAGAGGGCCTCTCGACCCTGAAAGGGTTAAGTTAGCAATAGAACTAGCCATTAAAAAACAACAAAAAGTAAAATACACACAGTGCACTCATTATTTACCTCAAAATATTTGTAGTCTTAATGTAGGGCAAAAGGCGAATAGTATTTATTGTAAGAAGCCAGTTGTGGATAGGTATGGTAGCCCTCCTGGCCACCCTAGCCACACATAACATACTAAGATGCTTAAAGCGCCCTAGAGTGATGAAATGCATATACGTACAGTGGAAGCTGTTTTCATTTGCCCTGGTTTTCATCGAATTCCGTTTTTGACTACTTTTTTCATCAAAATATTGGTCCCAGTTTTTGTTTCATCACCTCAGTCTTTGTCCGCCGTACCGAACATGTCCATCTGCCCGTGCCCACACAAAGCATCCCACGCATGCATTCCAAGTCAGCCTAGCTTCGTTTCTTCATTGAGGGAGCATTAACCATGCGCATTCATACGAATCATTTAAGAACATAAGAAGAAGAAGAAACACTACAACAGGCTGCTGACATGCAGAGCATGGTCCATGTACCCCCCCTGGAAGGTTTAGACCCCAATGATCCCCCCCCTGGCTTAGACAAGACCCCACCCAGTCTGGTCACCTCCACTCAAGGATGGGGCACTGCACCAGACCCAGCAGCACAAGCTCGTCAGGTCAACTCTCACCCACCCACAACCCACTCATTGTATTTATCTAACTATTTTTAAAACTACACAAATTTTAGCTCAATACTGTACTCAGGGTTTGTTCCACTCATCCACAACTATTACCAAACCAGTGTTTTCCTATATCCTTCCTGAATCGGAGTTTTTTGAACTTTAAACCATTGCTGCGAGGTCCTGTCTGGGTGAAAATTTTCAGCAGGTGTTGGCTATTTACATACCCTTTATTTATTCCTGTTTTCCATTTATACACCTCGATCATATCCCCCCTAATTCTACGCCTTTCAAGAGAGTGCAGATTCAATTTTTTCGTGCTCGTTTATTGAGTGTGACTGCTAAATAAGCCACCATGGGGCCAAGAAAAGTTCCGAGTGCCAGCCCTTAGATAAAGAAGGCGACAAACACGA